CCCGCCCCCCCCCCCCCCCCCCGCCGGCCCCCACCCGGCCCCTCACCCAGGCCCCGCCTCCGCGCGCCCCTGTCGGCTGCTCATCGTGATTCTCATTAGCCCTTCACGGTCCTCATGTTTTAGCCCGAACACACTGAAGACATGCTTGCTCGCTCCCCTCCTCCTGTCACCAGCCCACGCCTCCTAGGCTTGCAGAGCCTTCGTCACTGGCTTCGTAGGTCAGCGCCTGCTCTGTGTTGCTTCTCTCTTTCTTCGTTACCTCTTCCAGGATGGACCATACCTACACAAACAGCATCCCAGTGCACCCTCTGTCCTTTCCTCCGGCCTGCCCTCGGTCTTCTCAGCCCAGTCCTTCCCGAGGCCACCCCTAGGAAGCCTGCCTGGACTAGACTGCCTCTGCGCGTCCGTCCGTGTTTCCCAGCAAGTCCCCGACTCTGAACATCCCCACATCCTTTCAGTGCCCCAGATCTCAGACTGAGAGTTTTGTAGGAGGGTGGGGACAACTGACCTTGTAGGCCTCTTTACCCTCAAAAACCCAAGCAAGACAAAGACCTCAAGTGTATTTTTGTTGTTGTTTGGTTGGGTAACAGTGCAGAGAAGGGGAAGGCTGCCCACAGTCTAGGGTCTTCCAATGGAATTTCCCTATCTTTGGTTGAAACATTGGAAGGTGACATCCCTAGCTGCACAGAGTGGCTTCCTACTGACGTGACTCCAGAGACAGAGCAATGCCCACGGTCTACGGTCTACACCTGACTACCCAGCCCTCTAGCTAACTTCCTCTCCATTCTGACTTCCCAGAGGCTCTCTGGACTTGAGTCACGATATGGCTCCCATCATTTATTTTGTTCTAAGATTTGTTGTTGTTTGTTTTAGCAAACATTGCAAACCCATAGCATGAAGAATCAGTGTAGAAAATATAAGCCTGGCATGCCAACATTATGTAACTATTTAACTTTCAGAAATCTAAGGATTCCAAAAATGAATGAGGATTTCAAGATGAAGGCAGCCTTAGCTATGTGAGCTCTCTCTCCCTCCCTTTTTCCCTCCCTCTCTCCCCATACACAGAGTGGGTAAACAGAAAAAATATTGGCAACAGTTCTCTCTGTGATAAGATGATGGACTCTCTGCTTGCCTTCTTGGTTAACTCATTCCTTCCTTCCCTTTGTTTCAGCAGGTAGCCCAAGCTGCCCTAGAATTTACTATGTAGCTAAGGATAACTTTGAATTCCTGACCCTTCTTCGTGTCAGAATTACAAGCAGGCCTTGAGCACACCTGGCTCCGATTTTTTCATATCCTTTTCGTGGTCTCTATTTTCCTCCCAGTGAATATGTGTAATGTCTTAAAGACTGGAGTAAGAGAAACTATCTGTGACCCTTGATCTCTAGCCATTGTTAGTATTGGTTTCCCCAGCTTTGCTACCCAGGTATTTGTGCATAGGTATAATTTTGATTTACTTACAATGCTCTATACTGCTTTTTTTTTAAAAAAAAATCATGTTAATATTCCTAAGAAGTATAATTTTTAGTGGTTGTATAATAATTCATTATAGAGGAGCACTATAATTTACTTAACCTAGTCCTGAGTATCAGCCAAAAATATTTTTTAAACTTTTTTGTGTCATTATAAGTTCATTCAACAAGGATTAAAGAGATGGTTCAGTGTAGGCTGGGAGGTGGTGGAACACGCCTTTAAACCCAGCACTTGAGAGGTGGAGGCAGGCAGATCTATGTGAATTGGAGGCTAGCCTGGTGTCTACAAAGTGAGTTCCAGGACAGCCTCAAAAGCCACAGAGAAACCCTGTCTCAAAAAACAATAAATAAATAAATTCAACAAATACATATGAAGTGCCTATTGCCGTCCCAGGCAACAGATGTCATCCAGGCAGTGGAAATACAGATTCCTGAGAAATAGCAGCTCTATTTTTTTTTCCAGTGCTGGAGACTGATCCCAGACCCTCATGTATGGTAGGCAAACTCTGTCTCGGTGCAGCATCATTTTCACTGATAGTGTCTGAGCCGAAGGGCTGTAAAGAAGGAACTCATTTTCATTGATGAAATATATTAAAATTCACTGATAAAACTATAAAGATAGTGGGAGCTTCTGAAGTTGATGGGATCACTTGCCTCCCCCTCATTCTGTGAAGATTTTAGCACCTGACTTGTTGTCATTCTTTTCACTCCCACTTCTTTCTAATTCTTGATGACTTTTTTCTTCTTTTGGGGGGTGGGTGGGGGCTGGGAATTGTTCTGGGCTCTCAATGACTCAGTGCAACAGAGACGATTCCCCCAACATGGTGGTAGGTTACTTGTAAGGATGACATCACACTATGTCCTGCCTTATGTGACCCATTCCAGTGGCTTGGCTGCTCCTCAGCAGGAGGTGGGTCCTCTGGGCTGACTTCATGACTTGCTTTGACTATTAGAATCTAGTAGAAATGACTCCATCTGAGTTCCTGTAGTCGGGGTCTCCAGAGATCCTGGAGCTGCCCTTGGTCCTCCTAGAATACTTCAGTATCAATTCAAGAAGTCCATGCAAAGAACTGGAGGTGGTGGCCCACACCTTTAATCCCAGCACTCGGGAGGCAGGAGCAGGTGGATCTCTGTGAGTTTGAGGCCAGCCTGGTCTACAGAGTGAGTTCCAGGACAGCCAGGGCCACAAAGAGAAACCCTGTCTTGAAAAAGAAAAAAGAAAAAGAAAGAAAAAAAAAAGAGAAAAACAAACTGATAACCTCTGCTTCCCTACAGATTCCAGCTACATTTTTTCCTGCCCCCTTTACTAAAAATGCTTGAAAGATATTTGTTTAAATTGGCTATGGTGGCCAGGTGTTGGTGGCACACGCCTTTAATCCCAGCACTTGGGAGGCAGAGGCAGGCGGATCTCTGTGAGTTCGAGGCCAGCCTGGTCTCCAGAGCGAGTGCCAGGATAGGCTCCAAAGCTACACAGAGAAACCCTGTCTCAAAAAACCAAATAAATAAATAAAAATAAATTGGCTATGGTGGCTCACACCTGTAATCCAAGCACCCAGGAGGCTAAGGAAAGATCACTGCATATGTCAGGTCAGCCCAGGCTGTGTAATAAGTTCCAGGCTAAGAGAAGAAAGAAGATGCTTTGCTGTCACCAGCTCCTTTCTGCTCACACCATCAAGATTACTCTAGCAAAGGTCCCCAGTGCCCCATCAGTGCCAGTCCAAGGATGAAATCTAGTGGTCCTCTCACTGGCTGTCAAGTCACTTGATATAATTCATCCCCAACTTCTAGGGTCACTCTCAGCTTCCCTGCCCACTGCAACGACCACTTCCTCACTCACCATGCTGCTGTTATCTTTTCCCTTTCCCCCCAACCTTATTTATTTATATTTAATGTGTATGTTTATGTATGCCCATGAGCCATAGTCTGCATGTGGAGGTCAAAGGAGAACTCTCAGGAGTCAGTTCTCTCCTTCTACTATGTAGGTTCCGGGGATTGAACTCAGCCTTGGCAGCAGACACCTTTACCTGCTGTGCCTCTCACTAACCCACTACCACTGCCTTTTCATTGAAATATTGCAACCTTCCAGGATGGTTCTCTATCATCATGTACCAGTCAGGGTGATCCTGATGAAAGTGAGGTCAGCTAAATATGACATGGTATCTGGAAACTAAATCCTGGAAAAATAATTGGCAGAGGGCTGGTGGGGTGGCTCAGCAGATTAAAGCACTTGCCATCAAGTCTGACCTCACTCATTAGGTCCTGGAGACCCACATAGTGAGAGGAGAGAACTAACTCCTACAAGTTATACTCTGACAGTCACGTGCAGGCTGAGGCATGTAGACTACACACATGTATATGTACAAAACAAATAAAAAGTAAATAGATGAACTCCCATCAAAAATAATTAGTGGAGGGGCTGGAGAGATGGCTCAGTGGTTGAGAGCACTGACTGTCCTTCCAGAGGCCCCAGGTTCAATTCCCAGCATCCACATAGCAACTCATGACACCCTCACACAGACAGATATGCAGGCAAAATATCAATGTGTATAAAACTAAAATTAATTAGTTAATTAGTGGAAACCTGGAAAATATGAAAAAAATCTGGAGTTTATCCCAAGGTACTAGTAGTGGTTTCTCAGCTTTGACAAATACACCATGATATAATGTTAGCACTAAATAAGAACAAATGATAGACAGAAACACTCTTTTATGCCTTTATAACTCTTTTTGGTTGTTCTTGCTTTTGTTTTATTTTTCAGATTTATCTTTATCATTTATGTGTGTCATTTATGTGTATGAGTTTATGTTCACAAGTGTATAGATACCCTTGGAGGCCAGCAGAGGGAGTTGGATTCCCTGGAGCTAGAGTCACAGGTGCTTGTGCATTGTTCAGTTTTTTTGCTGTGTGTTGAACTCAGGTCCTCTGGAAGAATAGCAAGTGCTCTTAACGACTGAGCCATCTCTCCAG